TTTATGCACCAAAAGGGATTGCAGCTTTAGGTGGAAGCAGTCAAAATCCAAAGCCAATTCATCTTAGGTTGCTCCCTCACTCACATAGACCACACTCACACTGTGAGGAGGATCAGGTTCACTTTCCATGCCTTGTAAAAAGTGTCTTTATTTTGCTTTCCACGGGGGAGGGCTGGAAGGAGAGATTCTCTGTTCTGACATACAGAACCTCAAGATAAGGAAGGTTTTGTTAAGCTGAAGATAACTGGGTATGCACCCTTTGCAGTACTGAGCTGCTTTCATCCTTGACATTTTTCCCAGCTCTCTTTATTTTACTCTGTTTTATCCGTGCAAGGCCTGATCAGCTCTCTGCAAGATTACCTTTCCCTCCTTATCCTAGCAGGCAGAAGTGTCTGAACCTCTGGGCACAACAGCCTTTCACTGTGGATCTAAGTAAACTGTTCAGCGGTTGTAACAAAAAAAAGGGCTCTGTTCAGCCCTCAGCTGTAGCAAAATCAGTTTAAAATGAATCTACGTTATCCAAAGTAGGAGAAAAAGGAGTCACAGGTGATTTTAAACAATTCCCTTCTTCATAGGGAGGTTTGTCCATGCTATTCTTAGTCCCGTGTGGCCAGGAAAAGTAGAATTGAAGCAATAACAATTACAAGTTCTTACTGAAAATGATCCTGTCATAAATCGTTTATATGCTAACTTTGCTCAATATCCTTTGTGGTTGTATAGTAATATTTCTATCTGTGCAATAACAGATTCTGTCTTATAATTTCATATCTCTGTTTTCCTCTGTATTAATAAGAACATGCTTTGACACACACTTGCATCTTTCTCATCCATATGTTTAAAACCCTCTGTGCTACCACTCAATTCGGGACACACACTGACTGTATAGTAGCGTTGCTCAGGATTTGTTCTGTGTTTTATCACACATTTATTATAACTGCTCGTGCCTTTGAACTTCTGCTGTAGGGTCCTGTGACATGTCCAACACACACCACTCAGACCTCCTGCATATGTTTCATGTTTATGTCACTATATTCATATAAGCTCGGATATAAATGGACTAAGGAAAGGTTACTGGAACACTCCACTTCTAATCCTTGGTTTTCAGATGCTTTTTGGCTTCTGCAAAATGCTCTGGACTGGATTTTTAAAAAAATTCTTGGTTTGAAGTTTCTATCCAGGAAAGACCTATTTGTAGATGACTGTTCATTTGATTTTGTGCACACAAAGAAGAGAGAGAGAGAGTCTTTTCTGCAGTGTTACAAAATTAGAACATTTATTCCTTTATTATTTAAAATTAGCAGTGGCACCAAAACTGAGAGAAAGACAAAACCTGTCAGGAAGGTAACCATCATATAAGTAGATTATTTAAGATTTTTCAAGGTAGTCAAGAAAGAACAAGTGAACTTGCATACGCAGTCAGCTTTTCCTATTGTAGGCATTATTTGCAAATTACATCCAAGCTCTAAGTCCCACAGAAGTGATAAGTTTAGCTATACTGATATGGCTTATATGTTAATTAATTGTCTGATAAAGGGTTCACCATGTAAGGCAAACTTGGGGTAAACTGAACTGGCATATCCTGTGAGAGCTCGGAGTACTTTTATCTCCAGTCACTGTGCACAGAGCGCACTGAGCCACCTTTGAGCTAAAGGGGTCCAAGGCAGGCGTTCAGGCCAGGCTGATCCCGAGGCACCGAGGGCTTCACTGCTCCAGTGGAACACAGCCAAGGACACACCTGTTTCTCCCCCGTGCATCCTTTTGTATCAAATGAGAGGAATGGCACAAGATAGAATATTTGGTCTCATTCCAGCTCTCAAGCACACCTCAGCACTCAAGCACAGGATCCCAGATGACTGTCCTCCAGCACAATTGCTAATACAAGTGGTACACAGCAAGGTGCTTGTGATGGCAGAGAGGGAGGAGGAGAAATGAAAAGAAACAGCTAAGCTACTTTAAGCATCATTAATTAAGAGCTTCTCTGTCATCCTGGAGCAACAGTCCCAAATGACCACCTTGACTTTGTCATTGCCTGATTTTGGGCATTAGTATTAAGTGGTTATCCAAACAGTATCCATATTTCAGAGGAAAATACTTATTGCCAGCACTGCCATGACAGTAGTGATTACAGATAGAGTTTAAAGTAGCAATTACAAAATATATTGCAGCTATATGGGAAGAAGTTCTCAGTTTTATCAATGCTTGTCCCTGTCTTAAATTAGGGCCAATATTTTCAAACATGCGGTGGTGTTTGACTATGAGGAAGTTGTTTTCATTTGTTTCCCAGGCAACGAGTGCTCCTTCATGCCCCAATAAATAGCTATAACTTAGAAGTATCATTTGATAAAGATAAATCTGACCCTAAAGCAGAAAATCCCTATATAAATCACATGAATTATTGCTAAAAAATATGACAAAGTTTGTGAGCTCAGTGTTGTTTGCTGGAAATAAAACTGCCAGCATATTGAACATAAACTTAAATTTGTTTTACTGATTTAAAACATAACACATTACAAATACCAGCAATGTAGAATATAATTTATTCCTTACAGATATTTAGTGATGTAATTATTTAGATATTCCTCCATTCTCTGGAGAGGGTAGATACAGAGACAGCTGCAATCAACAGATCTTTTTGTTTTTATTGAGAAAAGTGTGTAACTATACAAAGTTCTAAAGTCCTACAATTATCACTACCATCAAGTTTAAAGAGAAAACATGAAAAGCCAAGTCCATACCCAGAAAAGGAAATTATCAAGTCAAAATTTGGTTTGACTCTCTGACTTCTCTAACACTGGCAGAAGCACTTGATGTGATGATTTGTCGCTTTTCTTTTGCTATTAGCACAGTCATTCAAATGTTCATCTTTGCATGTTTTATTACTGATTTTGGTAACTCTCTGGAGGAAAGAAATAAGATGGCTGTGATCACTCTTGGGGAAGCCAAATGGTAAGGACTAGCACTCCCTCTTGATGGAGTGTGGGGCACCAGCAAGTTCTCCCAGGAGCAGGAATTACATCTTCCCTTTGAATGCCAGTGCTCTGCTTTGCAAAGAGTGGTGGAAGCAGAATGCAAGTTGCATTATATGTTATTCCCATCCCTGGTCCTTTGCATCCCACCTCTCCCCAAAACCCCAAAGAATGGAGTGTAAAGCTCTCAATGGTAACAGGCACAGGTTTGTTCTACCTCTACCAGATCCACATTGTTTTGGTTTATTCATGCCCTTACACTTATGCTGATAATGACAAGCTGATGATAAAATTTTTGGCATGAGTAGCCTATAAATAAAGAACATTTTATATGCATTATTTGTCGTATGTTGCATGGCCCTGGAGAGGCACCACGCCACAGTGTCAGAAGTAACTTAAATAGTGTGTGTGTGTGGGCTTGCAAAATAAATGCCCCCCAAAAGTTTTTTCTTCAGGCAGCTACTCTGGCAAGTGAAAAAATGATCACATTTTTTGGTGTCCTAGACTCTGGAAAGTGAGTGTAACTATTATGATGTTTACTGGACTCCTGGCATCTGGAATAAAACTCTGCAGTCCAAGAACAGGCACAGTGGTGCCCAAAAGCAATTTTCATATATGTATGTCTTTTCCTTAAGCTTATTTTTGCCTATGAAGAAAGACTGAATTCAACTCTCACAACGTCCCGACTAACTCCTAAACCTTCCATAATGTCCTTTGATGTTTTCATTGTAAGTATTCCCCAGTGTGTAAAGCCTCTGCCTTTTGCTGTAAGGCTATCAATTTTCATAAACAGAAGGCTTTCTTGCACCCCCCATACATCTTTACTAGGTTACAGAGTAGCAGTTTGGCAATCTGCTTATTTATTTCATTTTAGAGTATGTGATACCTCTCAGTCACAGCTATGTAGGACAGGGTCAAATGTTCCACCCATTTAAAACAAAAGCAGGAGAAAGGGAGGAAAAGAGTGAAAAAGGAAAAGAAACAAAGTTTCAGTTTGAACAGATGCAAAGTAAAGACCAAAAATTTTCCAGTCGGTGGATGCAGAGGAGAAATACGCCAAATACATTTCACAAGCCAGTTAAGCTTCTACTGGCACCTAATCACTGCCAGATGTTTAGAAGCAACACCAAGAACATCGCGAAACGCTGGCAAAAAATAAACAAATCAACCAGGGAGAAACACAACTCTTCTTCTCGGGGCACCGGCGAGGGGGAAGATAAAAGTTGGGTGCCGAGAGAAGCCGTGCTGCGGGGAGAGCACACGCACATGCCGGGACACACTCACACGGGGACAGCCCGCTCCAGGACCTGGACTGACCGACACACTCCGAGCCGCGGCGGCGGCGCAGACCCCGCACCCCGGGGTGGCGGTGAGACCCCCGCTCCGCCGCTCCCGGCCCCGGTTGCCCGTGCCCTGCCCGCCACCTGCCCGCACCGAGTCCCGCCAGCACCCTGCCGGCTTCGGCTAATCCCGCGGGCATCCTCCCCGAGACCGCCCTGCCCGCACTGTGCCGGTGCTGAAGGCTGTCCGCGCTCCCGCCGCCGTGCCCGCTCGGCGTTCCCGCACGCCGCCGATGCCGCCCTGCCCGCGGTGCCCGGTGCACGTGTGCGGGCGGCAGCGCCCCGCTCCCGTCCCTACCTTTCATCTTGGCGCCGGGGCGGCTCGCATAGGACGGACGGGGCGCGGCGGGGCTGCCGCGGGGAGCGGCGGGCGGCGGAGCGCTCCCTGCCTACTGCCGGGCCATGCCCCCGCCGCGGGCCCTGCTGCGCAGCCCCGGCCGCTGCCGCTCGCCCTCGCTCCTCGGCCGCCGGCGGCACCCAGCCCTCGCCGCCAGCCCCGCGGAGCCCGGCCCGGCCCCGCGGAGCCGCGGCTCGGCCCCGCCTCCCTCCCTCCGCCCCGGGGAAGGGGCCGCGGCCGGGGCCGGGAGGCGGGGGCGGATCGGGGTCCCGCCGGCGGATGGGGCTGGGGGTGTCGCGCCCCGTGGGTGTCACACCCCGTCCCGCCGCGCCCTGCGGGACCGCGGGGGTCCCGGGTGGCGGGGCCGTGGGCAGCAGGGGCTGTCCGTGGGGAGCAGCCCGGGACGGGAGTTACGGGGCGCCCGTCGGTGACCGGGGGAGCTCAAGCGGGATGTGCTGTTCCCGGCAGGAGAACGGCCCCGACTCTGCGCTCCCCACGGCCGTGCAGGCACCTGGGGGATTCCCCGTGGGTGTGATCTCTCCAGGCTCCCCACAGCAGCGTGCCTCACACGCAGCACGCCGGTGGAGGAGCGGAGGGGCATAGCCATCTCCTGGGAAGAGGCTGCGGGATGTGCGAAATTCACCCTGATGCTGAACGAAGGGCCATGAAAGTCCTGTTGGGTTCAATGGGACTGCATGCACTACAGGCACTGGAGAGCGTGTGTAAATATTTGTGGGATTAGGGATACACAGGCCAGTCATCTTTTATTTTTCTAGTTCTGGATGTTGTCAGGAATAAGGGATCATTCCCAGGCTCTTTTTTCCATGAAATACATGGTTTATGATAAATGCTTATGATCCAGGTTTGAGTGTTAACATCAGTGCTGATGAGGCAGGGCAGGTGCAATGTGCCCCAGTTCGTTCTGGGGATGAACAAAGTAGTGGAGGCACCAGAGAGTCCCTCCTGATGCAGCGAGAAGATGCACACAATTTTGCCTTTGCAGTTAGAGGTACCAGAGCCTGCTGAATGTAGGGATACCCAAAGAAATTATTATACTACATGGCCTTCTCAGAGGGTCTATAGCTCCTTTAGGGACCACAGTATACCAGAAAGGTCATGGCTCAGGATCACAGCATCAATTTAACACCAGGTCAAAAAGCATCGGAAACCTATCAAGTGTGATCTCATATCAGCAAGGAATGGATTATTAAATCCACCAAAAATAGTCATTCTAGAGCAAAAATGAAAGAACAGATTCAGAAATCTGAATTCCTTCAGCTGGTCTGATTACTTGAGTTGGCATTAACTTGAGCATGTTTCACTGACTTGGAGGCAGTATCTTTAGTTTGGGACTGATGAAAATATTGGAATACCAGCTGCAGTAGCCATTTGCTGCTTTAAAGCAGGGCTCAGATATCAAAGAGACTAGACTCAGCTTTTAGTTTACACTCTAGCAGTTGACTGGACTATCAGGAGTAAAATGCTTAAATCTGAACACAGTCATCAGGTAATTACAGAGTCCCTGTAAGTGCTGTGTTGGATTAGGACTGCAGTGTTTATGAGACACACTCATGCTTACTTGGTGGTGTGAGGCTCCTAAGTTAACTTCCAATTTTTATTTTAAAGAATCAATAAAATTCTGTTTTCAATACTGAAAGCCATCAAAACTCTGATCCAAGGCCCATGAGTATGTTTCCAAAAAGAAACCTTTCCATCACTTTTCATTGACTGGATGACAGCAGTAAATGAAGCCCCATTTCTCCATAGGAGGGTACCTCTGTTTGAAAACAAAATGCAGAAAGAGTGCTTTAAAAAAAGGTAGGGAAATAAGAACACCACCTTAAACCTGTGTTATCAGGTGATGTGCAAGGAGCAGGACTGTGCAGGAATTTAGAAAATTCCTCAAAAGCAGTAAAAGATAACACTTTTCTAATTTTTTAATACAGTAATCTTAATGAACTGAAGGGTAGCAACCAAAGCTGCAGAACCTGATGAGTGAATTTCTGCATCTGAGGAAAATATTTTCCTTATTAATTGAAAGGAAAATTATTAGCATTTTGTATTCATATAGAGCTTATGAGTGATTCAGTAGGACTGAAGTCTACCTTCGTTCTTGTGACTTGAAAATATTTATTAATTTGTGAACACAGTGGGACACTTCATATTTCTAGGCTAAGCTTCTATATTGTCTTTTAATTGTGTAAGTTTTATTCCACATTGGATTTCTTATACATATGTTAGGAATATGTAAGAAAGTATATGTAAAAATATGTTAATTTAAATGGCTGATGAGCTTCTGCTAACACTGCTATAAAAATCTAGTGTTAATAATTGAATGCAGGGAACTCATGAACTGTTTCACATGTCAAATCTTTCCTTTAAATCCAAATATTTTATGTTTTAGTTTCTGAAGTGATCATTCTTTCGTTCACACCGATCCATGTCTATCCACCAAAGGAGGGTGTAGGTGTTAGAGACCATCACCACCCTTAGCAATCCTGGGATTAACAAAGGGGAAGACAGATTGTTGATGGATCATGGAGATGGGGTAATTGATCAAACACATTTAACAAATATCAGTGGATAATTGATATTATGGAGCATATACATTATTGTATATGTTCAGCTGAATACATACATATTTAGGGTGCAGTACACTATGTGATACAGGTTTGTATTATGCTAGGAAACATAATAGTGTGTTGCCCAGTCACAGGCCTTCACAAACTTTAGCTTTTTATACAGTCTTTCATATTTTTCAAGTTTCATTTAAATCTGTGGTGAAATTTGCCAAACACAGTTACTTTGCCTTTCCTCAGAAAACCACTGATCTTCTCAGAAAAAGTTTCATATTCTTTTTCATATTCTTTTATTTTTAGGAAACTTTAGACCATGTTCTAGGGAAACTAATTCCACAGAAATGCTTTATTTTAGGGACTTCTTTGTTACCCTAGTTCAGGACATAAATTATGAGGCCTGTTTTTTCATCCAACAATAGCAATATAACAGCAGCTTACTAACACAACGGGCTGCCTGTCACAAAGTGATCCCATGTTGCAGCCAGATTCAGACTCAGAGAAGGACTAAAGGATCTAAACAAATCATCCTTCTTTAGAAATATTTACATATTGCCTTAATATGACTTGTTTATATGGAACTATTACAATTTATTCATCAAATGCTGAAATAATGTACCCAAGTGAGTGCTTTGCAGTTGCTATGGCACGGTGTGACTTTAAGCACTTACCAACCACATGTGCGTTGTTTATTTTTTTTCTTGCTACAGTCTCCTCTTGAATATCAAGGAAGTTTGTTTATAATGGGTCTCACTCACTTTTACTCTGCAAAATGTGTTGAAATTCAGCAGTAATCCAAAAGAGAAATATGTCAGTGTTTAATCTTCCTGTGTACACTTTAGAATAAATTGTGCAGGCTGTGCTAAAGTGATTTAAACCCAAGGTAATAGGCTCAGTTCTTGTTCACTTTGATTCCACTTCACAACAGACCATTACCCTCGCATGGCTCATTCCCAGAGCCCATCCTACAAAATTTGTGCTATTTGGAAAGTTTTGGAGATCTGGAAGCCTTGGTCCTTGCACATGGAGGCCTGAACTCACATACGATACAAAGGGCAGCAATTGAATTTAAAAATGTCTCAAAAAAATAATTGCATGCATCATTGAGGAGAACTGCATGTGACACGGGAACCATATGTGGAAGATCATTTGTCTGAAGTAAGTACCATTTGGGTTCCGTACAAAATGTGCATTTGAAAAGTAAGAGTTGAGTATTATAACATATTTTAATGATAAATCTTTTTCTGCACAACAATTTCATATTGTTGTTAATGACCATTTTGGAGCTGTGCCTAGAGTGAAGACATTATCCTTGGATCTGGGTAATGAGTTTGTAAATGATCCTGAACAAATGGTGAAGCTATTTGCTAAAAATTTTGTTAAATCTGCAGATGAGCCTATTCTTAATCTGGGTAATTAGCATCATAATTTGAAAGTATTTAGTTATCTAGACTTGTCCCTGGCAAGTGAGGTTGGTTTTTGTTTTTCCTTTCCTATTGTTTGATTACCTGTGAGGCTGAGGGGGATTCTGAAAGCAGCAAAACACCTGGCTGTCTTTTCAGTATGCCAGAATTACTCAGAGGTACAGACTTGTTTTAACCATGGTTTGGATGTTGATCATGCAAAGGTTCATGTGCCAGTTCTCTTGTCTTTCAATTGCTGTGACCTTTTTGTCTTGGAAAGAAAAAATGGAAGATAGCTCTAGAGTAGGCTGGACAGTCACATTGCACTAAATTTAAATAAAAGCAAAATGCTGGAATGCAAGTAAAAGTACAGCTATTACGATCATCTGTGGATGAGATTGAGGCAACACTGTTTCATATTTTTTGTGATTGTGTAAAACACATCATTGTGATTTTTTTTTCATATTTTGAATGGAGAGAGATTGTTTACAGTTCAGGAAGTTTGTGAAATTATATTCTGGCAATTTACAGACCAATTTCCTTACACAATTTTTTGTCAAAATTTTCTAAAACAGTTGTATCTGCTGAGTATCCAAACCAATGAAATATTTGACATTTGCACTCCAGAATTTGCGTAATGAAAAGTAATTCCATTACCGCTAGAGTACTAAAATGTTGGAGACACTAAAACCAAGACCAAATAATTAATGCCAATTTTATTAAGATCCTTGCAGAAACAGATTTTTATATATTACTTATGACATTTTGGTTGCTTATAGTATGTGTCTCTTTCAACACACAGAAAAAGAATTCTGATTGCCCCAGGAATAGATTCTTATTGCCTGAGGTCTAATCAGGTCAGCTCTTTCTTCAGCTAGAGTATATAAAAATGATACTGGCCAGAGTTTGATTTATGTTGATAGAAAGCAGCAAAGATCTTTCCATGTTTTGAGACTGTCCGAGTGCCAATGACATTCAGGTTATGACTATCTTTAGTGGGAGCAAGCCAGCAGGAACCTGGAATTGGGCTGTGTCAGCCCAGAGAAACATCAGTCTGCTGTCATTACATGCCACACATCTGGGCTTGACTGGGTGTGTTCTGCATGCTCCAGTCTCACTGTGCCTTTTCTCCCAGAGGTAAAGTGGTGCACAGAGCTGTCTCTGTAAGGGCACCTGGCACTAGAGGGAGTGGAAGCTGGTGTAAACTACTTACAGACACCAACACAGTGTGGTTTGGCTGTGTCCCCTCCCCAGATTTGCTGGTTATGTCAATAGAGACTCACATGGTAAGTCCAAAAGCATGATACAGTCATACAATCATAGAATGGCCTGGGTTGGAAGGAACTTCCAAGACCATCTAGTTCCATCCCTCTGCTGTGGACAAGGACATCTTCTACTGGACCACGTTGCTCAGAGCTCTATCCAACATGGCCTTAAACACTTCCAGGGATGGGACATCCGCCATTTCTCTGGGAAATCTGTTGCAATGGCTCACCACCCTCACAGTAAGGAATTATTTCCTAATATCTAAACTAAACCTATTGTCTTTCAGTTTGAACCCATTCCTCCTTATCCTGTCACTGTGTGCTCCTGTAAAAAGTCCCTCTTCATCTTTCCCTCAAGGATCTCTTCAGGTACTGGAATACCTTATGTGGTCTTCCTGACCACTTGCCTGGCAGTGCAGACCTCAGAGTCAAACAGGGACTGAGTGTGGCTTGTATATTGCTTGGTCACAGGAGAGGATCCTAGCAAGGAAAGCAAATAAAAATACAGTGAATCCTCCCTATATTAAGTTAACATTATTGCAATGTATTTTGGCTCCTCAGCCCGTGAGTTCCACCCATTAGGACTCCCTGACGCTTCAACAAGTGGGTGTAAGTAGGTCCAGGGGAATATTAAATTACAACTCTTCAGCTCTGACTTTGGCCCAAAAAGAACAGAAAAAAACCCTTTGAAAATTAGGGAACATCATGACTTCAATTGTAAAGTATTTTGCACACTATGTAGAACACATCTGTAAATTATGTAAATTAATATTTATGGAGAACATTGAACCTTTGAAGTTTTGCTTTTTGGAACATACTGAAAAAAAAAGATGGCCATTCTGATTAGCATTTTTATTAGAATTTACCAGGTTTACATAGATTTTTTTTTTTTTACAGCAAATGGACTTCAAAAGGAACAAATATTCCAAAAGATAGCTAGTGATTGCTTCTGAGAACATATTATCAACAGTTGCTTCTAATGCAACTAATGTTCTGCTTCTGTCTTCTTTCAGGTAGGTTGCAGAGCATGAGATATTCACTGGAAATATTAATGAAGGCTATGAAGAGATGCTGTGGCTTTTTCATTTTGTCAGGACTGCACAAAGAGTTGTGGTCAAAAAACGTTACTGATGTGGTGAAATCAAGCACTCACAAGATGGGAAATGCCAGGAAAAAGATTTCCCATGGGACTTCAGCTTATCTGCCTATGTTTGGAATTATTGACAAGACATATATTCCTACTGACAAAAGGCATCAATAGGAATACTAGTTTATAATGGTGTATTAATTTTTTTCTCTGGTAATTCCATTTATCTGGTAGAGAGGAGGGGCTGAACTCATTTAGGGAGTACCCATTCAATATTTTATATTTTCTTCATTGTTCTTATAGGCTCCATTCACTGCAACATTTATGCTCTTCTCTGAAGATAAAATTATTGATTTCCTCTATGTCTGTCATCAGGGTAGCATTTAATAAATCTTATTTAAACATTGCAAGCAATAAGGAGTATTAATAACTCTGTTTTATAGGACTGACATGCAGTAAAACTGAAGTTATTCTCTCCTAAGAAGTTAATCCTTTGAAGTGCAATGATTTCTTGAGGTACCCAGTGCTGTCAATGTTTACACTATATACCATAGGGCACCTTCCACTTTCTACTTTCCAAGCCTGGCTGAAAGTCCTAGTGACAACCCCACAAGGCTCAGCTACACACAATGCTGCCTCTGACCTTTCTCTTCCATCTTTCCATGCATGTGAAACCTGCAAAGAGCAACCCTGGCAGGCTCTGAGTGAAACCCCATGAGTGGATGACTGGGACATGAGGACATGAGGGGTGCTGCTGATTGCAGAAGACCAGCAATCCAGCTACAGTCATGCACAGTGTTTATGAGCTTGAAGGCTACATCTCACAGACTTCCATGTCAGGGGGCGGTGCTCAGCCCTTCTTCAAATGAAGCCATAGGGCTCCTGTCAGGATTGTTGAGAAAAACATGGGTAGTGACAGACTGGGATGAGCTGGATGTTGGTGAGTTGCTGGGATAGGTCGAGGCCAGCTGGTGGCAGCTCAGCCCCCACCCAGTTGCTCACTCACTTTCCCTGAGAGAGATGGGGGAGAGGGTTGGAAAGCCAAAAGTGAGAAAAACTCATGGGTCAAGATGAAGGCAGTTTAATAAGTGAATGGGGAAAAGAAGATCCCAACTGATGCAAAGACAATCACTCATCACCTCCCACCAGCAGTCCTGTGCCCAGTCAGTCTTCAAGCAGCAGTTAGGCACAAAAAGTCCCTGTTTTATTGATGAGGATTCTGTATATGGTGTGAAATATCCCTGGGCAGTTTGGATCATCTGTCCCCTCCCAGACTCTTGCCTACTCCCGGCCTACTCATGGGGCAGCAGAGCTAGAAACAGAGAAGGCCTTGGTACTGTGAAAGCACTATTCAGCAACAGCAAAAACATGGATGTGTTACCTGCACTCTTTTGGTCACAAATCTAAACCACAGCACTGTGCAGGCCACTTGAAGAAAGTCACCTCCACCCCACCCAGACCCAGTGTAGTTGTTCCCATCACATGGGCACTGCCTGTCAGAGTCAGAGTCTAGTTCTCTAGTTTCAGCTTTGAAAATCAGAAATTTCTTTTTCCCTGCTTCTTCTCTGACCTGTACAATAAGTGAGGTAGAACTCTTAAAAGACTTAAAGTTTTCTTCACTGTTCAAATCTGGGGTTGACATCTCTCTTCTATGCTGTGCAGACTCCCACTGGGAAAGAGAAAATGTTATTCCCAGCACAAAGATCACCTACCCACCAGATTTCAGGATTGTGATGCAAAGCCTGGGAAATGAGTGTTTTTAAAGGAAAACATCTACAGGCTTTTGACATAGACAACAATATATACATTTTCCCCTAGGTTTTTCTTGGAAATGACTGAAAATTTTCCAAAAAAATTATCAAAAGAAGTCCAAACGAAATCAGCCAGAGGCATCCAGCCAGCAGGAAAAATTACAGCTAGGATGACTGAATTTTGGCAAGGCTATGGGGTCCTTATAATGGAAAGTATTGGGTAACTCCAAGGAAAGGCCAAAACCAGTTCAGGAATGAAGAAAGAATGACCATGGTGGCCAGTGATTTTAATCTTTCACTTATCATGCAACCCTATAAAGGGAAGACATAATCCAAAATGTGTTTGGCAATATCTCTGGAGAGGACATAGAGGAACAAGCTGTTTTTGATCTTTCTTCTGTCAGTCCAGGCTGTCAGGTCTTTTGAAAGCTCTACAAAGCTTCCTCCCACAATAGAAAAGTCAGTTTCTCTGCTTGAGATATTTGTGAGACATGAAACACATTCTTCCATGCCTCTCTCAGATTCATGTAAAACTACCTACAATGATTTACAGCCTTCAGCTTTCAGGCTCAGCATTACCACTCAGATATCCTCAGGTAGAGAATAGACCTCTATTCGTTACTTTAAAGATGACTGCTCAGCATGCAACTGGCTTTCAGTCTTGTGTAAATGTAATTCCAAACATTTCAGGTTGAACTTCAGCAAATAAGTGCTGTTATTAGCCCATTTCAGTGCAGGTGCTAGAACAGAGTACTGAGATTGGAAAAAAACTCCCTCCTGCTCTAGCAGAAGCACATCTGCTGTGGCTGACAGAGCTCAATGAGGTCTCCAGCTCTGCTTCCCAGAAAGGGAGCAGCACAGAGACCGGGAGCAAAGCTCCGCATTATTCACCAGCTTTGTTGTTCCTGCAGGGACACTTGGGATGGAGAGGAAAGAATTCTGTCACACATTTATAAAATAACCCTTTGAAGTGCAGAGTTTTCATGCTGTCATTTATAATGCTGTTTTCTTCATGGAAAGAGACCAAGCATGCCTGTTGACAGCTAAAAATCTGTCAAAATCAGCATGAACTGCAGAGCAAGTGTATACATACACCTGTTTGTTCAAACTTTTTTCTTAGGACCTGGAGATCTCTGGGGTTTCTTGGGGAATGGATAACTGCAAGGACAGGGAGAGCTGTGAAGCATAGAGCAGCACTGTGTTCAGTCCATGTGCCACATGCAATATATGCAAAAAAATCTTCATGGGGAATGAAAATGAAACAAGGCACCAGAGGCACCACCTGACCATTGTTCCTGGGGGATGTTCATAAGTTTAAGTATGAAAGAGTTTGCTTCTTCTGTTACCATGTATTTTTCTGAGTTTTGGAGTGTTACTGGTTTTGCTTTGTATTAGATTTCAGAAAATAGACTTCAAAATTGGTAACAGGCAGCTGGTCTGCTCATAATGTTCCTTTTTTCCCCCCCTTGAGATACTTGCCTGTGTAATAAATTCCATTTATTTATTTATTAAATGAACATAGTCAAGGTACTTGCAAAGAAATGAATATCCAAATATACGCAGAAGTATCAGAGAACAAAATTCACTAGAATAGCGAAATTATATCACGATGTCATTTATACTGGAGGGAACCATGAGGAGGTCTCTGGTCCAGCCTCCTGTTCCAAGTAGGGTCAGCTGTGAGACCAGACCAGATTGCTCAGTGCTTTTCCCATTTGGATCTTGAAAGCTCCAAAGGCAGAGACTGCACAGCCTCTCTGGGCAATCTGCACCCATGCCTGGGTGTGACTCAGGCTGATCACTCAGGCTGAAAAGAGTTTCTTCTTATATCTTGTCTGAACCTCACTTGCTAAACAACTCATGCTTGTTGTCTCTCATCCTCCCAATGTGGAGCGCTGTGTAAAGCCCTGTTCCATCTTCTCCTCAGCCTCCCAGCAGGAAGATGTTGTCACCTGCTGGGGTGCACCTCTGGTTCGTGTTCAGCTTGCTGTCCTCCACCCCCACAGCCCTTCCTGTGGAGCTGCTCCCCATGCTCCCAGTCCCCAGCCTGTCCCATTCCATTGGTCCATCCCAGGAGCAGAAAATTGTACTTGCTCTCTATTTTCAAAACATTTCTGTTGGCCCAGTCCTCTAGCCTGTGTAGATCCAGAACTGCTTCCAAGCCCAGGGAATGCACTCCCCAGTTTTTTCATCTGCAGACTTAATTAAAGCGCACCCCATCCCCTCCTTCAGATCAGGAATAAAGGTATAAGACAGGACAGATCTTGCTTGTAACTACTCACCAGACAAGGTGGCAGGAATCATTAACCACTATCGTTTGAACCTTTTGGAACCCTTGCACAAGCCCTATCTAGTTCCATCTACATAGATCTATAGTTCCTTTTTTTTTTTTTTTTTTTTTTTTTAGTTTCTCTCTCCCTGACCATCACTTCTAGGCATAAAGGTCTGAGACACCTTGTTGTTGAAGACCAGGGCAAAGAAGCCATTGCTCAGCCTTGCAGCTGCTGGTGCTGCTACATTCAGCAGTGGAGAGTACAAGATGCTCCTGGCAGTGGTCTTCTTTCCCTTGACCTTTGCAGACAAGTCCCAAGAAGAATCTGCTGGAGATATGGCCAGGAGTGGGTGTTTGTGGCAAACAAGGATGCTTTGAGGCAGTTTGCCTTGGCCCAGCACATAGGAGCAGTAGTGTATGTTGTCCTAAATGCAGGACATCTGCCATGGAGTCACTTTCTGTCCACCCCTGCAAGCCTCCATCGACCCAACCAAGCAGCCTAACTTTATGTTATTATATTTTATTTTACTATTTGATAATATTTGTGTTTGAAATTAAAGAAAGCTGGAACTTGTAACAAATTTTCCTATTCTGTTGGGCCAGATACTACTTCTTTCACAGAACTAAAATGCAGAGTGCAAAATTTTGCTGGTGGTTGATGTGGCCCCTCGGTCTCACAGGAAAAGGGAGGGAAAAGTTTTGAGTCATTCAGCAACAACCACAGGGAAATATAGTCCCATCCACATTCATTTCCAGAGAGGAATTTGAGGTTTGGATGACATAGAAGAGGAATTACTGTGGGGAAAGGACGTCTCAGGCTTTGCTGGTGGAAGGACCTTCCAAAGTGCAGAGGATTTTTATAGTTTCTGTAATTCTTCTAATTCTGTGTTTCTCATTTTATGAGTGTAAGCTGTCTCCAGTTCCCTGCCCTTTCCCGTTGGGCTCGTTTGTCTTTGTGCAACCCTGATTCAGCAGCAGCTCAGTGCCTCGCGGGATGAGGGTGAGAACTGGCTGGGCTGTGTGTTTGCTGGCTACAGGAACAAGCATTACCTTGCCTGAGAGAGACTGACTGAGCTGCTGCCAGAAAACAGACTCGGCTAGCAGAGCCTTGGCTGTCACTGTAGCCACCTCTCACTTCCCCCTCCTACAGGGAATGAACTCCTTGTGACTAAGAATGTTTTTTGGCAACTTTTCATAACCTCTTTGCAGCCTTGGGGTGAAGAAAAGTGATATGAAAGTGCAGCCTCTAATTTCAGAAAAAGTGTTCAACATAGAGTCACAGAATCACAGAACAGTCTGGATTGGAAGGGACATTAAAGATCATCCCATTCCAGCCCCCCTACCATAGGCAGGGACAGCTTTCACTAGACCAGCTGCTCAAAACCCCA